TCGGTTGTTAACTGTCTCCAAAATGATGCAAAATTTGAATAGATTTCTGTGGTCGTTCGTTTCTTTATCAATGTGAACAGAATCTTGCATGTTTGCACCACTATAAAATTTATTATCGATATAATAAAAACAAGAGAGAGAGAGAGAGAGAGAGAGAGAGAGAGAGAGAGAGAGAGAAGTAGTTAGTATTATTAATACGTACCAAGTTCATTTCCTCTTCCCAAAGTAGCTGCAATGCCGTATCCTTTATATTTCGTGTTAGTAGTATAGATTATTACATACGTGCAGGCATGATTGGGATTTGTATGCTGTTAAAAGTCGATTATGTTAAACACAAGCCTCTCGATAATTCGAAAATAAAAAACAACGTAAATATTTTATTATGAAAATTAATGTGTTGCAATGCGTACCAATGCATCATTTCCAATCTGCCACATTGATGTTGGAAATCTTACATCATACACTTCGATGTCAACGATTTCCGCCTCTATCATCTTTCTATATCGCTCAACAACACGATATTCACAGACTGACGGTAATGACTATATTTCTGACTAAATAATGTTCTCCAGAAACGACCTCTTTCAAAATATACATATAAAAAGATTTTCTGTACGGCGCGAAATCAATATTTATGTTTTACTTATAAGGACTCAAATCAAGAATTAGTTACCAATTATACGTTAAAATCGATCTTACAGATTATTCAAACATTTATAAAACATTCTTACTTTGAATTTTTTGTGTATTATTATTTTTTGATGCTTTCTATAAATATTTAAATATACAAGGATAATTTTCATACAGAATTTTCTCCTTACTAAATGTATATTTAATGTATATAATTTGATTTATAGTTTATTATATAACTATTTATGATTCTGAAATGCTTGTTTTCAATTAGAATTTCAGAATCGCTACGCGGCAAGTCATTTTGTCAGGCTTATCCTCTATAAATTGCCGATATTATCGTCGTTGCATTTCATTGTTCACATTATTTTTAGACGTATTGTTGTAATGCTTACAATTAGTTTCGTTTATAGGCCACATATTAATTCAAATTCGTAAGCGATATACTTGAATCATTTCTTCGTAATTACATCTATTAATACCTTTATTAAAAGTTATAAATATTACACATAATTAGTATTCGAAGTCATTTGCGCGATAATACGATATAATGATATTATAAAGAATTGCAACATCGTCATCAAATTGTTTACTACAAAAAGTAACGTTTGCCAACCCTGCTAATAATTAACGATTTTTCGAATAATTAATTCTCGTGAACTGATGCGGGTCTTAAAATAATCAAATTTCAAGTAGGTGCATCATTGCGATAAATTTTGCTACATAAAAAAAAATATCAGAGTTAAAAAACGTTTAAAATAAAAAGTAGAGATGTAACACAATAAAAAATTGTTTTTCCGATATTTAAAATTTAATCTATCAGAAGAAATGTGGTATAGACGTAAATGCTCCACGGACGTGAAAAATACCGATTCGGCGTATATTTGCCAATTCTGCGCTAACTAATTAAACGCTAAGGTTGTGTTAAAATTATAAA